CCCTGGAGAAGGATGTCATGCTTGGTAGGGTGGAGGGTCGATGAAAGAGGGGGAGGCCTTCAACGAGATGGATTAATACGGTGGCTGCAATGATGAGCTCAAGTATAGCAGGGATTGCGGGGCTGGCGCGGGATAGGGCAGTGTTTCGTTCTGCTGTGCATGGGGTCGCTATAAGTCGGAAATGACTCAACGGCACTCAACAACAACAACAACAACAACAGCATCTAAAAGAAATATTATGCTCTTCTTAAAAATGATTATGATTGTAAATATGGAACTATTTGGAGTATGGTAAGGGAAAATCAGAAGTCCTGGGTGGTGCAAATGGTTAAGCCCCTGACTGCTAGCTGAAGGGTTAGGGGTTAGAACTCATCCAGAGGCACCTTGCAAGATGGGCCTGGTGATCTGCTTCTGCAAAGGTCACAGCTTTGAAAACCCCATGGGGCATTTCAATTCTGCACACACAGGGTCTCTATGAGTTGGAAATGACTCCACCACAACTAACAATAACAAGGAGAAAAGAAGCAAAATATGTAATTTTATGAACATTATTTCAATTATGCAAAATTACATAATTTTCTGGATAGGCACTTTAAATGAATATGAAGAACTGAAGTTGATTGTGATTTTTTACAAAATGTTTTTAATGTTGCATGGCTTCTAAAATGGTAAAGATGGTGACTGCATAATAATAATAATGGAAATTAATAAAATGCTAGGGGTCATATAGTCTGTCTACGCCAATATTCTCTTTCTCCTGATAGTACCAACTAATTGTGCAAAGAGTTCAAGGGGTTGAAGATCTGGTTTTTAAAAACTATATTTTCCTCTCATGATTCATTATGCTGTCATTCCCAAACACAGTTAAACACTTCTTCAACCATTCATTCCATGTCTTAACATCATGAATTTAAAAATTTTTTTTTCCTTCTGTGTGAGTTAATAATTTCTTTCATTCCTGTTACCTTGTTTTTTTTAATATGTATTTGATTTTGTTTTTGATGAAGGGTGAAGGTTTACACAGAAATTTTGATCACTTCATCACTTATGAAGTAAATTACTTTAGATGCATGCCCTTTCTAGTCAAAGTTTGTGACTCGACGCCTACACATTGATTGGGTGGGACTATGCAATAACGTGCTTTTGGCCCACCAAAGGGATTGGATAGCTTACTGCTAATGCAGATAAAGTGTATGGAACCTGTGATGGTTATGTGTCAAGTTGGCTGGGCCATGGTTTGGCACTTATGTTGTCATGTAATTTGGCAGTAATGAAATGATGTAAGGAACTCTGGTGGTGTAGTGGTTAAGGCATTTGACTACTAACCAAAAGGTTGGTGATTCAAACCCACCAGCCACTCTGTGGAAGAAAGATGGGGTGGTCTGCTTCCATAGAGAAAAACAAACCAAAAAAGAAAAAAGAAAGAAAAGCTACACAAGCAAAAAAGTTCAGAACATGAGATTTGTTTTGGAGGCTGCCAAACAAGGTCTGCTTCCTCTGAAGCCCAATGGGGGTCGCTATGAGTCAGAAACGACTCGATGGCAGAGTTTGTTTTTTTTGGGGGGGAAGTAATGATGTAGTTACTTACCATTTTTTGGTCTGATGTCATTGTCTTCCATTTTGTGATCTGATGTAACTATCCTCCATTTTGTGATGGGTTGTATATCTAGCCTCTGTACCTATGGTTATGGTCCCGTTTGGGAATGAGTTATGTGTTATGTTAATGAGACAGGATTAGGGCAGAATGTATCTTACTTACTAGAGGGTGTGACTCAGTTCAGGAGCCTTATCCTAGTCACCACACTTAGCACCCTTATTCAAGTCACACCCATGCCCTGCCTTGCTCAAGTAAGGGGAGTTTCCTTGGGGTATGGTCTGAGTCATATATATATATATATATATATATATATATATATATATACACATAAATGATCTGGTGAAGTTCCCTCTCTCTCTTGCTCTGGATCTTGCTTTTATCATCTGACCTACAATTCTTGAGCCAGCAGCTTATGGTCTGACCTGATTCACCAGTCTCCACAGCTTTGTCAACCAGCAGCCTGTTACATGACTTTCCAGTTTGGATTCATCCACCCCTGCAACCATGTGAATCAAGAGCAGCCTCCAGCCTAATACCTGCCCCACACATTTTAGACTTGACTGCTAACCAGAAGGCTGGCGGTTGAAACCGACCAACCACTTCTCAGAAGGAAGACCGGGCAATCTACTCCTGTAAAGATACCACCTCGGAAACCCAAGGAGGGGTCACTGTGACTCAGATTTGACTCCATGGCAGGGAGTTTGGTTTGGTTTAGCCTCTACAACAGAATGAACCATTTCCTTGATGGTTTGTGAGTTCCGTAAGACATGGTAACGAATTAAGGAACCCTAAGACAGGACGGAAAGTCCTGAAGGGAGGATAATAGTTGATGTTAGAGACAATGGAGTGGTGCAGCAGTTTGGAAAAGTTGGACATTGGGACATCTTTAGCTTCTAACTCATTGGAACCAGCTTGGTGCTGATCTTTATAAAATTACTCATTTGGTTCCCATTCAACGATTTCTACTTAAATTGTTCTGTGACAGTGGTTACTTTTTCACTTTGTGTGAGTGTTCACATTATTTCTGTTCTGGTTGTTTCATTTCCCTGACTCCTTACATTCTCATCTTTGATTTTTGACCATTTGGTCTCACATAGGCGATTGTTTAAAAGAATACAGTACTTATGGGTGATATTCATTATTTTGTGAGACAATCCGTTATTAAGCTACAAGATAACCACAGGGGTTAGCTTTTTTTGTTTTAGGAATTCGAGGTTCTGTTCCACATTTTCCTCCTATTCTATCAGGGTATCTCTACTGTAGCTCTGATTAGAATGGTGGTAGGGGTAGCCAGGCACCATCTAGTTCTCCTGGTTTCAGGGTAGATGAGGCCATGGTCCTATTAACTTTTTAGCTTCAGTTCATTTTATTATTCAAGGCATTCAAGAACTTGACCTTGTTTATCTTATACTGCTCTTAGGTTTTATCATTTCCTGCTAGCCTTTATATTTTTAGACCATATTAATGGAAAGTCAGTCATGTTTGGCAGCCTCCAAAACAAATCACATGTTCTGAACTTTGTTGCTTCTGTAAACTTTTCTTTCTTTTTTTAGGTCGTTTGTAAATGAAGCTCCTAATACAAGCTCAGGAGCTCTGGTAGCATAGTGCCTAAGGCATTTAACGGCTAACCAGAAGGCTGGCGGTTCAAACCCACCAGCTACTCCTCGGAAGGAAAGGGGCAATCTACTTCCGTAGTGATACTGCCTGGGAAACCTAAGGAGGGGTCGCTATGAGTCGGGCCTGACTCGAGGGGACACATAACAATACAAGTTCGGTATAGACAGGACCCACTACAGGAAGGAAGAAAACACAGCAAGTCTGGGTGTGTTTGGGAGCTCTGGTGGCTAGTGGTTAAGACATTTGCCTGCTAACCAGAAGGCTGGCAGTTCAAACCCACCAGCCACTCCTGGGACGGAAGATTGGGCAATCTACTTCCGTAGAGATACCGCCTCAGAAACCCAAGAAGGGGTCACTATGAGTCTAATCGACTCAAGGGCAGCGAGTTTGTTTTTTATTTGCTTTTTGGGGGCCTGTTCAACGTATGTAAGACAGAAATAATGATTACCACCTTTCTGGGGGTTCTGTGAATGTGATCCAAACAATCCAGAAAACAGTTGCGCGAAGTAAGCGCGGGAAGATCAAGAAGACGCGCTGCTAGAAGGCTGCACTCTCTCCAGCAATTTAGGAACCGTGTCACACGGCTGCATCCCGCCCGCTAGCGGCGCCTTGACTCCGCCCCCATCGCCCCGCCCCCGTCGTGCCGCACGCAGGCGCGTCCTCCGCTGAGCTCACAACCCCGCCCTTACCGCCCCGCCCCTAGGCGGTTGCTCGCGGCGGCCGCATCTCTCCACCAGCCCAATGGCGCGGCTGTCGCGTCAGTGATGTGAAGCAGTGCTTAAGCTTGTCCGGCCCACGGCCCACGGCCCGCAGCCCATTACACCATTCGCCGCCTCAGTCGCTGCAGCCGCTGCAGTCCGAGCAGACTGGGAGGGCGGGAGCCGGCGTGGCGGGGCGGGGCAATCGGCGCGGCTGGATTCACTCCTGTGGGGTGTGGGGTATGGAGAAGCTGTGTGGCCGCTGGCGGAACAGGCTGGCCCAGGCGGCGGCGAGGACCACGGTTACCTTTTGAAGGTGGCGGCCCGATCCCGAGCGGCCAGTGGAGGCAGGAGAACTAGTCCACGGGCAGGTAGTGGTGGCGGCGGCGGTGGCCTGTCCGGGCCCAGGTTGAGGCCTGGGCGGGAAGGAAGGGCGCCCCTGGGAGCGAAAGGCGGGCGGCAGATTGGAAGCCAAAGACTGGTCGACCGGTAGGGAAGCTTCGTAGTTGGTCGAGCAGCTTGGGGAGGGACTGCCTTTTCTGAAGAAGGTAGAAGTGAAGATTATGTAGGAATAACTGATTGTGGGGAACCCGAAGATCCCTTGGGGAGATCAAAATAGGGCGGGCGAAGTTAATGTCTAAGAGGCAGCCTGATTTCCTGAGAGCCTCGAGTAGTTTTAAAGGAAGGAGCGTTAGCTGGCCGAGGTTTGGTGCATCTGCCCTTTTTGTTCCTTCTCGAAACCTATCCTGGCCACAATGAGGCCTTCCAGCCTCGCGCCCTTGGCTCGCTCTCCTCTGCAGATGCGAGAAAGCGAAACATTTCTGAACCCGCGCCTCCTGCCTCTTTCGGTTGTACTCCTTGGGCATGTGCAAAACCAAAAGTAGAACAAAGCTTGGCTGGCTGGAGCTGGAGGAGAGAAAGCCGGTTGGCTGTCGTGTTTAAATTTGCCTTAAATTTTGGCGGAGACTACCTCCTACCACAACATTTGTGTCTTTGTGTACCCTTCTGTATTTTCCCTTCCCACCTTTTTTTCCGGGGGGCAGGGGACGTAAAATCCCCCAAGATTCTGATTCCGACTTATAGCGACCATTTAGGACTGAGTTAAAATGCTCCATAGGGTTTACAGGGCTGTAAATCTTTACGGGAGCAGGCTGCCTCATCTTTATCCCTCAGAGCAGCTGTAACAAGAGTGGAAATTAAGAAAATTTATATGGTGTTTCAAATTCAAAACTGCTAATTACTTTTTTTCCCCCCTCTTTCTAGTTTGGTAATCTGATTGTCAGATGTTGGAAGGCAGTAGGGACAGAACATACTCTTCGTGGTTTTATATCCGTTCTTGGGTGTAGTGTTTAACATTGAGTATTGGTTCCCGTAACTCTTGCCTGAGTCGACAGAGTTAAGCTGGAGCTTTGCTTTGAAGAATAAATAAAGCACAGCCTCTAAACTGGACATAAATGGATCTAAAGACAGCAGTATTTAACGCAGCTCGCGATGGTAAACTCCGGCTTCTCACAAAGTTGTTGGCAAGCAAATCCAAAGAGGAGGTTTCCTCCTTGATTTCTGAAAAAACAAATGGGGCTACACCACTCTTGATGGCAGCCAGGTATGGGCACCTTGACATGGTGGAGTTCCTCCTAGAGCAGTGCAGTGCCTCCATAGAAGTCGGAGGCTCCGTGAATTTTGATGGTGAAACCATTGAGGGAGCTCCCCCACTGTGGGCTGCTTCTGCAGCAGGACATCTGAAGGTGGTCCAGTCTTTGTTAAATCATGGAGCATCTGTCAACAACACGACTTTAACCAATTCAACTCCTCTTCGAGCTGCCTGTTTTGATGGCCACCTGGAAATCGTCAAGTACCTCGTAGAACACAAAGCTGATTTGGAAGTTTCCAACCGACATGGTCATACGTGCTTGATGATTTCATGTTACAAAGGACATAAAGAAATTGCTCAGTATTTACTTGAAAAGGGTGCAGATGTTAATAGAAAAAGCGTTAAAGGTGAGTTCAGCTTCTTCATTTTTCGTTTTTTAAGTGTCTACTGCTGCTTTTCAGGAAGTTTGATACATAATATAAGCCAAGATGAAGTAAGCCAAAATTGACAGATCTGTTTTGATTAAGGATCCCTTCTAATAGAACCTTGTTGAGTGTTTATCTCATATTTGATGGTATATTGAACAAGTGCAATCCTATGTTAGGCAGCATTTTCTCTCCTATTTGGAGTAACTTCCAAGACCTGGGAAATGGGTTCCCCACAGTTACAGAGCATATTGTGGGAGTTAATCTGAGCCCTTAGTTTTGTATTCAACTACCTGAGAATATGCTGAAATATAATAATTTTCCCTCGGCTTTTATTGTGTCAGAACAACCTTGGAGTAGCAATTACTGTATTGAGTCATCCTAATGTTTGTCTTCAGTAGGCATTTTATTTGTTACTCTGTCAGGGAGGGCTAGGCCAAACTGACTTGAAAGGATTAAAATAAATGGAAAAGGAGAAAATCTTTATTCCATATTTATTGTGTGATTAATAGAAAATCTTTTTATATGAAATGTATTAAATATAGCAAAAGAGAGAACATATTTTTAAAACAGCTTCAATACTGAAATAGCAAAACAAGGACTAGGTTAACAAATGTATGTTTGTTGGCTAGCAGCAACATAAACATCAATGTCTAGAAAAAAACTCAGATTTAAAATTGTGTATAATTTTTGATTATAATAAACTGAAAGCATCAAAGATAGTTTAGAATTTTTAGAACTTTTGAAAGCAATTGTTCTGAGAGCATAATTTTGACACTTGGAAACCTTATTTTCCTTTGACAAATTTATTTATACAGCAGCAAATTAATTCACTTGCTGGTTTAAAAAGCTATTAAATTTAAAGTAGTATATGTACATGGTAAAAAATTCAAATAACACGAATTGGTTTATGATGTTTACAGTGAAAAATAAGTTGTATTACCCCTGATTTCTAGAGCTCAAGCACACTGTCAACTGCTCTTTGCAGATTTTTGTGTATCCTTCCTGAGATAGTCTGCAAACACAGCATGCATATCTATGTGTCCTCCCTTCCCCCCACCATACACTGTTGGTTGATACATACTGTTCAGTGTCTGTATTATTATTATTTTTAACCTTAATTTACCTTGGATGTTAGTCAACACCAACACACAAAACTACCTCATGCTGTTTAATGGCTACCCAGTATTTCATTGTATGAATATATGCAGTTTGTCTAGCATAGTGGCTAAGGCACTTGACTGCTAACCAGGAGGCTGGCGGTTCAAACCCACCAGCCACTCCTTGGAAGGAAGATTGGGCATTCTACTTCCGTAGTGATACTGCCTCGAAAACCCAAGGAGGGGTCGCTATGAGTCGGGTCCTACTCGAAGGCACATAACAACAAACGGCAACATGCAGTTTGTCTAGTTCTGTTGATGGACATTTAGGTTTGCTAATGCAATGCCACTGTGAATATTTTTGAACAAAAGTGTGGCGTTACGCATGTGTAATAGTATAGTACAAATACCTAAGAAATGGAATTGCTGAATCGAATTGTGATAGTGTCTTTCTGAGAGGAAAACCACCCAAGTATGGGTACTGTATAGTTCCTGAACATATTTACTGAAAATACTGTATAGTTCCTGAACATATTTACTGAAAACAGTATATATGTGTATTTTTTTAAAAAAAGGTTTGTTTTAAAAATGATACAAGTTTATGACTTTTTGTAATTTTTTTTCCAAAGGAAATGTAAAAATCTCATAAAATTCCCACACTCAGATAATTCTTCTGAAGATATTTTTGAATTTCGCATACAGATATATGTATTCAATTTTATTTTATATATTATCCTATAACCTATTTATTAAGGTTAATAAATATTATCTTAAATGCCACTAATTGTAGCTTCTAAATTTCAGTAGCTGGATGTTCTTCTGTTGATGGAGTTTTATGTTGCTTCTGTTTTTTCAGTATGATAAAAAATGTTTCTAAAAACATTCTTTCTTACATATGTTTCATTTGTGTCCAGTTATCTTTAGTGGTACATTGTTGGGTGAAAGGACAGCATGACTTTAAATTTTTTTCTTAAACAATCACCATTCTTTTAAAGAATGTTCATTTTAAGAGATAACAAATTGCAGCTGAATTGACTATGTTGATGTTGGATATGCTTTGAAATCATAACTAGAAGAAAGAAGGGAAGGGGTTAAAAGGTATGGCTGCTTCTTTAGGCGTGTTGTGGTTTTTTTGGTTTGTTTTTAATCACTGGCCTAATAATGTAAGATTGTTGATAAACTCACGTATCTAAGTCAAATTGGGATATGTTCTAAATTCTTAGGTCATTTTAGAGATGAGTACTGGCACTATTTCCCTTATGCTTTTCAACACTGCTTTATGTACTTCTGGAGATACAGATATATTAGGGAACTAAGCTATGAATAGTTCATATTTTTGTCAAAGTTTTTCTCTGATAAAATGTGAACGATATTTAAATGCTTTAAGCTGTTTCAACAGAATGTTGCCTTTATCACCATCATCTCATAACCTTGTTATGTGAGGGTGTGATGCACCTTCTTTTGGTCAAATGGTTTTCTGATTCTGAGTCATTTTTTTTCAGTATCAATATCTAATATTTATGACTTTTTTTTTTTAAATACCCATAACATGAAAAAATAATAGCATTCCAAAATTTGTTTCTAGGTAACCTCAATTTCGTACATATGAGCATAGTATTTTTACCTTTCATAGTGCCTTTTAATTTTGACAGTGATTTTTAATGAATATTGGAGAAGATTAAGGCCATACACTCTTCCCCCACTATGATCCTGAAGCTTCCATTCTTTTATAACTATTTTCTTGCTGACTCTGGTTTCTTACGGTCTAGCAGGTAATAAAAAAGCAGGAACCAATTGAGACTGAGACAAGGACACTGGAGAAAGATCTAATATAGCAGTCAGATAGAATTTTTCTTTTCCCCCATGTGTTTTTCCCCACCCATGAACTAGAAAAGACTGAAAAAAAAAAGAAGGGATAAAATAGAAAAATTTCTTAAGAAAATTTTATGTCAACCATTGGAAATGGTTCTGAACCAGGAGCATATCAGTAGATTGTACTTGGTTGACTTAAATATAAAATGCTTATGATTTGTACATTTCATTACTTGTTAACAGGCTATGGCATTTCAATACATTGTTTAACCCCTTTCCATTACATTTTAACGGGCTGTGGCATTTTGAACACATTTTAACCTAGATGGAATTTATTCATTAGAGCATTTATTGAGTCCCTCAGTGTTCCTGGCTGTTAGACTTAGGATATACAAAGATGAGTAATACAAGACTTCCAGTCCTTGATTCCCTGCTCTTGAGGGCTCATGGTTTTATTTAAGAGACAGGTCCATAAGCAGGTACTTAAATCACACTGTGGTAAGTGTGACAGTAGTGTTTGCTTCTAGTAGATATTTGGAAATACTTTATCAAAACCAACCAGCTCGTTACATAAAGGGACACTAAGTTCCTTCTTTTCTCGTAGAATTCAGAAGGGGGAGAAAACTCTGAGGTACTTACAATTATCTAATTTAACACTCACAGTAATTGATTATGAGACAGATGTTGATTCCTATTTATAGACCCCAATCAAAAGTGGTTTGTCAGGCCCCTCTCAGAGCTATCATACTGATCTCAATCACTTCTTTGTTAGTCTTCTTTGGCTTTAAATTAAAATGCATAGAAAGCTTATTCCAGTGTTCAACTTTCTTTTTTTGGACTCAGAATAGGACTTTATAGATCTCCAGTGAAGTTTACTTAAGCTTTCAATTCTGCTTTTATACCCAGAGTGTTCCAGGAATTAAGCAGCTAAAATGCTGATTCAGTACTACAGATCAATACTACAGTACTACAGACCAACTCAGCTCTATGTTAGGGTTGGGTTATTGGCTTTAGAGGATGCTCTGACTCTCTTGACCCTCATTGATCAAACACTTTAGATACCAAAGGTAATTAAGTAAATTGTACTAAAGATATTTACTGTGTACTTTTGTGGCAAGGCATCGTGTTGGACATCATGGAGACCACAAGAAGATATAGGATGTCACATTTATTAACTGCTAAAGGAATATAAACAGCCAGTGCTTCAGGATTTTAGAGGCAAAGTGTATACTGACTAGGAATGCTGCATGGAGAAAGTACTTGAGCTTTAAGAAATTGTTGAGACTTGGACAGGGACACTGGAGAAGGATCTGATATAGCAGCAAGATAGAATTTTTCTTTTCCTTCATGTTTTTTTTTCCCATCCATGAACTAGAAAAGACTGAAGAAAAGGATAAAATAGAATGATGTCTTAAAATTTGGTATGTCAACCACTGGAAATGGTTCTAAAGGAAGAGAATATCAGTTGATTGTGCTTGAGATTGTTGGAGATTCGATCTACAGAAGGTGTTTAGTATGGTTTTCGTGGCTTAGAAAATGGCATACAGAAAGCACATAGTGAGAAATATGCTTAGAATTGGAAAAATTGCAAATATGCAGAATTGGAAAGTAGGCATATTTGAACCAAAGGGTATTCAGGGCTAGATTATAAAGGACATTAGATCCCAGGTATGGGAGTTTAATTTTATACTTTACAGTTATAAAAAAAGTATAATTTTATAGTTTATGCAGTGCTGAGCCAGTGAAAAATTTTCCACAGAGGAATAACAGATTTTTTTCGAGAAACCCTTCTAACTGTATTCTACTGTATTGTGAGCTTTTTGAGAGCAGAGACCAGATGTTAGTATTCTGTGCATTGGGAAGAGTATCTGGCTCATAGTGGGCACTTGGTAAATGAGTTTGTTGAATGGCTATGTTGGATTTAAGAGAGGAAAGTTAAGTTCTTTGATGGGGAGAACTGTGTCTTATAGTCCTTTCTGTAAGGAAGTAAATATATACATGAAGATTTAAAGTAACAAAATAAGAAGTGTTGTTGTTGTTACATGCCCTGGAGTCAGACCCGACTCATAG